TTGAAACATTTAGCAAAAATTAAAATCCCCGGCTGAAAAGGTGGTGGGGATGTGAGGTGGTAGGACAGTGAAGAATTATCGAGTGGGCAAGTGGACGCAGACCGAAAGCGCATTGCTGTTCACAAGGGCCTAGCAGCGACACTTATATGTACATACGTGTGTATACTGATAGCGTTGCGAACGCATTGCCAAGTGATCGACTAGCCAAAGCGGCTAGCGGCCAAAGAAGCTACATAGCTAATTATTCCGTTCTTCAACTATCACACACACACACACACACACAAATTTCACAGTTTGGCGTTCGAGGAGACTTAGTGGCTGCATTGGAATCAATTAATCTTGTGTGTGTGTTTTTGCAATAAGTGATCGCTTTGCACAACACCTCCCAGCGCACCGTACACCCACGAGCGAGTAAATCGCATTTGTGTGGTGGCGAGCAGCGAACGTGCCGAGTAACATGGCATGTGGCGTGTTGCCACATACATACATAGCTCAACGCTATGCAATGACGTAAATATTTAATTGTGCTGATTGCGCTTTAAATGTCAGATGACGGTGAAACAAAAGCGACAAGTCAAAGTACGAGTATTTAAGACGAAAAAACAATACATAAAAAAAGTCGCAATAAAATAAGCAATTAAATTTAATCGTGCTGACATATTATAAATCAAATGTGAAAATAGCGTTTTAAAGTATGCCAAGATTAGCGGTTTGGCCAAGCACTTTATTTGTGTGTTTGTGCTCATCGATTTGCGACATTTGCAATCAATCATTCACTAGCACAAGTGATTGCAACAATTGCTATTTTGTAGATGTTTTTTTTTTTTTAGATTCTACTCTGAAATGGGTTTTGGTTATAATTAGCATTTACTTATTTTGTTGTGGCCCGCTGTTTCGTCTTTCTCTGGTGAACATTTGAAATTCCTAGAACTTTGTGGCATAATAAGCACAAATTTTATTGAGTAATTTATAGTACATATGTACGTACAGCCGATACTCAAAAGGATCGACAGCACCCGATATTTAAAAAGTACTCGCAAAAGAACTCGAAAGTACTCAGTACCCAAAAATACTCTGTTTCAATAATCGCTTTGATATATATGTATAATCAAGACCGATTCAAAGTACTCAGTTTGATTAAGTGTCGAAATGATACTTAAAAGTACTGAGTTTTATTTACATTTAACGGTATTCGGAAATGAATGTACTCAATTTACAGTTTCAATAATTTTCAAGCACAATATTTGTACCCAGCACTGCTAACCATTCATTTGACGTAATTTTAGGTTCATATATTAATTTGAATAAAATACTGCGTGCTTGTGAGATTTCTAAGTGTTAAAATGTTACCAACATATGTATATTTAATGAAAGTACTCAGTACTCTGAAAATACTCGATCTTTAAAAGTATCGATACCAAAGGACTCGATCCACAAAAGTGCACGATACCTCCCAACACTCGTATGTACTGTGTATGTATGTATAATATAAATTGTACTATACTGTACATCTGTATAGTATAACAATGCACCATTTTTTCAAAATGTAAAATAAAATAAAATAAAATAAAGGAAAATAAAATAAAATAAAATAAAATAAAGGAAAATAAAACAAAATAAAATAAAGGAAAATAAAATAAAATAAAATATAATATAATATAATATAACAAAATAATGTAAATATAAAACGTTAAAAAATAAATAAAATAAAACCAAATAAATAATATAAAATAAAATAAAATATATAAAATAAAAAAAAAAAAAAAAATAAA